GGAGGGGAAATTTAGGTTAGATATTAATAAGAGGATTTTTACTATGAGGGTGGTGAGACACTGGCACAGGTTGCCCAGGGACATGGTGGCTGCCCTGACCCTGGTGGTATTCAAAACCAGGCTGGATGAGGCCTTGAGCAACCTGGTCTAGTGAGTGTCCCTGCCCACGGCAGGGAGTCATGGGACTGACTAGACGATCTGTAACGTCCATTCCAGCCCTTAAATTCTGTGATTCTATGATCCTATGATTTCACTACGGATATCAATAGTCTGGGAATTGCTGGATGAGATAAAGATGGTGAAGACTATTTCATGAATCATCATGGTTAAAGAGGACAGAAAGTAGTTCAAGAATGGGATTTGGAACACTGACTGATATATTCATGTCTTCAGCAAGTCCGGAGGAGGCCATGGAGATGCTCCAAGGTCTGGAGCACATCTGCCATAGACACAGGCTGGGGGAGCTAGGGGTGCTCAGCCTGGAGAAGAGAAGGCTCAGGGAAGACCTTAGAGCCCCTTCCAGTGCCTGGAGTGCTCCAAGAGACCTGGAGAGGCATTTGGGACAAGGGCCTGATACATTCATGTCAAGTGTCACCCCACAATGTTTCACTGATGAAGGGTGAAGATGGCAGAATCTGGGCTCCCATATCTGACTAAGCTTCTCAAAAAAGGCAGAATTCAAATATACCAAACCTTACTTGAGATCTGTGGATTCTCCACCCCTGGCAGTGTTCCAGGCCAGGCTGGATGGGGCTTGGAGCAACCTGGTCTAGTGGAAGGTGTCCCTGCCCATGGCAAGGGGGGTGGAACAGGCTGATCTTTAAGGTCCCTTCCAGCCCAAACCATTCTGCGATTCCATGACCTAGAAAGGTCCATTAAGAACCCAGAGATCTCTGTACAAAGCAATGGTGAGACCTGATCTCCATGACCAAAACTGTCTAAGTGAGACAAATACATGGACGCACAGAGGGAAAACAAATGAGGGAATTGAACCTGAATAACCTGCTTGACGGGAAAAGATGATGAAGGCTTTTCATGCTTAAGCCAACAAACAAACACTAAAGGCTATGAGAGGA